TTAATGGAAACTGGAGGTCAGCCGGAACAGAGTGAATACATTTCAATATACGGACACGCAAAGCCCAATTAATTTGGGTGTAGACTTCAGCGAAATCAATCTGAAAGAGCTGTCTTAGGGCGTTTGCACAATACCAGCACAATGGGGCATCAATCTGACCTGGATTTGCAAACACCACAATACCTGAGCTGGTGAGTGAAGCTCCTGAACGCCACAGAGCAATGGAGCACCTCAGCATCCTGAAGCATCTCGGTGAAGCCGGCTCAGGGTCTTTGGACTGCACCAGGTTGTCCAAGACAAGCATCCTCAGGACCAAAGATTCAACTTGCATCTTCAAGGCCAGCCTGATCCACAGGAAGTTTAAAAAAAAAAAAAAAAAAAAAAAAAAGAGAGAGAGAGAGAGAGAGAGAGACAAAGAAGTCAAAATTTGAGGAAAAGAGAGCCCATATTTGCAAATGGCTTTGGCTTTGCTGCTGAGAAGCCCAACTTCATTTTGAATTAACATAGGAAAAGGAACATACATACAAATTTTGAGTGGAAAATTAAGGGTTTACTGAAATAGCTGTCTCCAATAATGTTATCAAATACTTAGATTCATCCCTGTAACTGTTGGCACCTGCAGAAAGCAATTTAGCCCAGGATTTAGCAATCTAACCCAGGATTTAATCCTCTTGCTGTAGCTTCACCTGCTTGAACCAACCTCCTTCTCTGCATTGGCTATGTAGAGGGCTTGCTGGCAGCCAGGCTGCTAAAGTAAGCATCTTCTGTGAGCACCTAAACAGGACAAATGCAGGTGCAAATCCATGCCTGTATTGGTATGCACCACAGACTCGTGTTCACGCTGCCCATGTCCTGAGCTAGTGCCAGGCACGAGTTCAGCAGCCCTGTGACCACACTTGTCCTGCTGAGAAAGGTTTGTTTTTTCGGTACAACACCTCTAATGCAAATATTTGCCTCCTCGACTGGAAGGAGCTCACATCCGACCAGCTGAGCGAAAAGGCCGAGCGAGCTTGGGTCTGGCTCCACCAAATGAGGGAAGCTTTGCCCCGCGGCTCCCCGGTTCCTGGGAGGCAGGACGGCGTGCTGCAGCTGGGTCCTGTTTCCTTGGGGTGTTTTTCACTGCCGTCTGCTTGCGATTTGACAGCAGGTTGCTAAGTGCTACAGTGCATATCTGATGTACCTCTTCCCGCACTTACAGAACGGTGCTCCACGCCTACAGATGAGTTTCACCTGGGCACCTTCCCTTTCTGTTCAGCATGTGCGTTGGCATCTGCTATGGGCGCCGGCAACACCAGCGGAGATGCAGAGGCGAGGGTGGTCTGCAGCGGCCCGGGGCCCCTGCCCCGCGCCTGCTCGGGTCGGGCGGCCAAGCCTCGGGGGGGGTTAGCTGGAGCGGGGTGGCCGGCGCGCTGCGGCAGGTCCTGGCCTCCCTGTGCCCTCCGCGGAGGCCGCCTCGCGCGGCAGGGAGAGCCAGGCTCGTTTGCAACTGCTCCTTTTAGTTCAGCTTGGGAAAGAATAAAACTTAGCTATTGGGGGGGAAGATAAAGGTAAAAAACATTACCATTTAGCAGCTGATTAGATTGTATAATGTATGCTACTGGAAAGCACTGACACAAGCATTAGCAGCAGAAATATTCACAGTCCTTAACAGTTCATTAATAAGAACTACATGAAGAAATTATAATTCTGCCCAGAGCAAGTGCTTCGAGCTGCATTTATTCTAATTGCTGGGCCTTCCACAGCAACAGCTGAAAGATGTCCATTTTACCACAGCGGTGAAACAATCTGCAATGTCAGTCCCAAAATTAAATAATAACTCTTCATGGTATGTAATGAATCCAATTAGTTTTCAGCTAGATTTTGGAGGCTGGCTTTTTTGTTTGTTTAGGCGACAGCAACCCCAAACCTCTCTCATTTGAGTCCCGGACCGAGGCAATTAGTCCGCTCTTTGCTCAGCCTGAACTGCAGCCATGGTTAATGACAAGGAGGGAGGGGGGAAAAGCCTGTCAAACAGGATTATTCAGGAAAAAAATAGCTAAGTGGATTTAAAATTGCAACCTGTCATTGCCTTCTGCAAGTCATTTAGGAAGATCTGAAAAATAGAATAACAATTTCACTGGAAACAGACCCAGAGGAAGAGGGGGGCTCCTGGGCGAAGGCAGGCGGGCCGGGTGG